ACAGCCACCACCGCGGAGGCGCAGGGGCAGCAACCCAGAGCACCCATTCCCGCTGTGGAACAGGGGGCACTGGTCGCAGGTACCTCGCCACTTCTAAGGAAAACCTGACTGGCTGGACGACCGCCCGCGTGCGGGTAGTACAAATAAATCTTTACCACTGCCGGGCGGCTTCGGCCACCCTCAGTGAGTGTATGCTAAAGACAGTCATCAGATGTTGCTCTAATTCGTCTAAGACCATAACTGTCATTGGGTGTGACGCAAACGCGCACCACATTTTGTGGGCAGCAGTGACACCAATAGACGAGGCGAGTCTCTTTTAGAATACCTCACGACTTCATCACTTGAAGTCTGCAATTAGGGAAATGAACCAACCGTTGTGACAACGGTACGAAGGGAGGTCATAGACATTACAATCTGCTCAGACCGCACCAGCGAACTGATAAGAGATTCGCATGTGTCGGATACACCCAGTTTGTCCGATCATAGATACATACGATTCTGCGAGTCGGAAGTTCCTCTCTCGGTGTATAGAAAGCCGAAAACAACTAATTGGGCCTTTTACCTAAAGAAAACCTTAGGTTGCAGCTGGGAGACTGCTCAACTGAGGTACATACTGTGCAGGAGTTAGAACTAGCAATAAAATCAGCCTACGAATCCGCATGCCCTTTGAAGTCGAAGAGACAAACGGGGACATCCAAATGGTGGAACCCGGGACTCTCAACGATGAGAAAAACGGTGAGGAAGCTATTTAACAGGGCCAAACGAAACGGGGCCTTCTGGGGTAAATACAAAACATCCCTGACTGCATATGGCAACGCCATCAAAAAAGGAAAGAGAGCTTCATGGACGAAAGAATGCAAGGATATCGAAGATATGCCGAGCTACGCCAGACTCTATGAAACACTCTTTAAAGAACCACAGCAAAAAGTGGGCTCCCTGATAAAACCACAGAGAGGATATACAACAACAGAAGAGGAGTCTCTCGAGCTTATGCTTAAGACTCACTTTCTTGATCAATACTGGGAACAGGCAGAGAACAGGAGATACCGGTGATCTACAGGACGTGACAGCGTGCACTGAAAGAGCACTGGACTCTTGGCTCAAGCATCGTAAACCAGTCCAAAGTTAAGTGGGCCATGAGTTCCTTCAGACCATTTAAATCACCGG